GTTCCTGACTTTTAATGGAAGATGGGCAAATCTAGCATCAGACCTTGCCTTTAGTCATTGTATGTACCTTCTGTGTGGATACTCTCACTACTGCAGACTGGACACTATGCTCTTGAGGATATAGCAAGAAAGCAAAGATGTATGGGTAAGATTATAATGCAGAGACAGTAGACTTTTAGGAAATTATTGCAAACAGATAATTTGTCATTATAGTAAGCAGAAATTTGAGTTAAGGCATCAGGCTAGAAACTGGGAGACTGTAAGATCTAGTTTTGCCTTAGACACAAATCCAGCTGGGAGACTTTGGGCCAGTCACTTTTTCTCAGCCCTAGGAACCAGATAATGGCAAAATACCTTTCTGAAAAACCTTGCCAAAAAAACCCTGCAGGGTCTCCGAGAATTGGACATGACTGAATGGAAGGGAAAAGGGAGACATTTATGCTACTTTCCAATGTATGGTGTTCTATTTTCAAATTCAAGTAGAAATAATACATGTCAAAAGGATGATCGTAGATGTCTTTGTCCTTACTTATAGCTGTATGAAGTGGAATGTTTAGTCCTGTAAGCCATTCTAAACATTTTTAACAATACCAACCTTTAAACTGTAAGCTGCAAATAGTCATTCAGCAATAATTAAGCAATAATTCATTATCAACCCTATGGTCAAATATTATAAAAGATTGAACTCTGAGGGAGGTTCTCTCCTGCCTCTAGATAATTTCTGATCACCTACCATTGGATTGTAGGTTGCCCGCCTCTCTTTTTACTTTGCTTAGCCTGGAAGCTGTGATAAGGGACGGCAAGGCGCCAGCCTTTCCTTCTTGCTTGATAGGGGCAGGGAGAAGAACTTTGAATGGTGCAAATATTAGAGAAGCTGGTTGGGGAGGAGAAAAAGGAAACATGTAGGTACATATGCATTTTTTATTCTGTGAAGAAGGGGCCCTTGCATAGCAAAACAGTAAAATGTCTTAGGAGTAAAATTTTCATGTAGTATATAGCTCTGTGTGTGCCTTTGTGGCAGTGATCTTTGATATGAGAACAGAAGTGTGGAGATCCTGTCCTTAGTCCTATTTGTTAGTGGATACCTCTTTCTAATGAGCACCTGTAGCACTTTGTGGCTAGACCCTGCAGCTGACAACAGTTGTGAGATTCCAAACCCTTCTTTGTTTCAAGCCAAGTATCCAAGTTTTCATATTTCTGGCCCGGACAGCAGTAGGTGTCTGGTTCAAGCCATGATAACATCAAATGCATCATCATTTCATTATACACATGAAACAAAGAATTTGTTTCACCTGCATGACAATTTCATGATGCATGTGATCTTACTTGCCCTCTACTGTGGAAATCAATGCAGAGGGAAGGCATTTTCAAAATAAAGCCCTGGCTCACAAGGAAAAAATGATTCAATAGTTTATAGAAATGCTTGTAATCCTCATGTACCCCATATACAGTATGTCATATTTACCTGTAGCTAAATCAATGTTTGAGAGTCTGGTTCCAAGGATATTAATGAGACTGATATAACTTAGTACAGTGAGCTGGTACAGATGCCTTGGCATTAATGTAGGAAAGTAGGAAATGTCAGTATACCATTATGCTTCTAGTAGTGTCTGCAGAATTGATGTAGATTTCCACAATTCAGTTTCTTTGTTGCTTCATCTATTTCCTTCCTGCTGGAAGGGAGGAGACTCAAGGGAGGAGGCATAATTAATTCACTCTGTTACACATGATAGCTAGATGTGGTCAAGGATCAGTTTCTGCTTCCTCCTATTGATGATTCTTCTGAGCCACACGGTCTTCATTTGGAAGAGCTTTCTCTCTTGAGAAGTCCATCTGCCTTCCCTATTCTTTCCAAGAGCATTTTATGGAGAACAAAACTGATCCCGATGCCGAGAAGACTAGGTAGGTCAGAGATTGGTATGCTCTGCTCTTCCTTTTGATTGTTGCACAGCCTAAAATAAGCTAGCCAAAGATACATGTTTTGGAGAATTATCTCATTCTGAAAATAATGTAGCGAAAGTAAGAAAGACCAAAAGCTGTGAGTGATCAGGGATTCCATGAGGTTGAAAATAACTTAATGGTGAGTTAAGGTACTGAAGACTTGGTGGGTAGAGCGGATAATATTATGGAGGCATATCTGACGAGAGTGAAGATGATGGAACTCTGCTGGGAGGCAGCTGAATAGTAAGAGTCTGGAACAGGCTGCCTAATATGGTGACCTCCAGACACATTGGATTGCAGCCCTATTGTTTCCAGCTTTTCTCAAACTTCTCTCAAAAAGGAAGCTATTCAAGTGAGCTGGGAAAAATAACCCAGGAAGTTTCAAGAATTTGTTCACTATTTTGTGACATTTTAACTGCTCTGAATAAAGCTCTTGTGAGCCTGTATGGTGCAATGGTTTTTTAAAGCACCAGGCTAGAAACTGGGAGAGTATGAGTTCTAATCCTGCTGTAAGCACAAAGATAGCTGGGTGACTAGGCAAGAACAAGCGAATCCTGAAAATCTTGTTAAGTAAAATGTAGGGACTTGCCCACGTAGTCTCCAAGAGCCAGCAATAACTTAAAGGCATGCACACACATACCCACACACATTACTTGTATCTTTTGGATGACAGAGGAGGATAGGAGGCAACAAGATGTTTGCAACAGATCACAGTCTATAATGGACAGTGCAGTTGCAAGGGAAAAAACTCCATACTTTTGAGTCCCTTTTTAATCTGTATTTTTATAGAAGATTGCCTTTCTGCTTTTTAACTTATTTTGCTTTCTTAGTGCTTTCTTTCTTTTTTTTAAGTTGACCTTCAGCAAAATATAAAAAGGCCAGTTTGCTAGAGAAGGGCTACTCTACTCTATAAGAAGACCAGTTTGCTAGAATAGAGGTGACTGGATTTTGTGTCCTTTTGTCTCTGCAACACCACCTGGGGTGCTCACAAATTTTCATAGCAAAGGAAATTTGACTGAATTTGTGGAATGGAGCAGATCCAGAGGGATGAAACTAGACTTCAGTCCCCTTTCAAGTGATTGAGGGTGATGGGATGTTTGTTTACTAGCAACAAAAGCTCAGAATGAGTAGTTAAAATTTTGATAGGGCTGCAAATTGAGCAGAACCCAGAAATTGCAGAACATTATTTTTAACATTTACCACCACCCACAGTTTAGAGGGAACAGGTTTTTATTAAAAAGAATGTGTGATTAATGATTCACAAGCAAAGATGCAGCTATTAGTTATGCAATAAAGCGTATTTGTATATTTTGGGGGAGACACACAAAGAATTACATGCACATGGCCATGTATGAAGCGGTCCATATACAACCTATCACAATAACTGAAGACAAAACAGCTTCCATTTTATTGCATACAGGGTTGGAGAAATGTGTAGTGATGAGCTTGCCATAAAAAATAGGAAAATACTAGAAGCATAGAAAGTGAGGGGGTACCTGGAGGCACTGACATATGACAAGCAGGAGGGTAGGTGATTGACAGAATGTTGGTTGCCTTAACTTGAGCAGATGGCAGGATATGGCTCTGAATCTTGCAAGATGCTGGAGACAATGCTTTCCTGTTTAGCAATGATCGTCTGTATCATATAAGTGGTGATGCTACACTGGCATGGCTTCTTACTTTCATCCTTCTTCCTTTTTTGGGTTATCTACAGTATAAATGTAAGTTATATGTTCCTCAGAGCAATACTGGGGTGGAAAGAGCAAGTGATAGATAGACAAGGTTACAATTATCTCTTTCCTTGCTTGAACTAATAAGGAAGGATGTTAAAAACTTAGGGGAATTAACTTTTCCATTCCAAAGTAAACCTCTGCAACCTTTAAGCTTAGGTGGAGGCAGCATTTAAGCTTAGGTGGAGGCTTTCATTGGCAGCAAGGGTGCTCTTTTGCTGAGTGTAAAGGCATTGCAGTGGCAAACTGGTTTGATCAATCTTGTGAAGTTTCATTTGAAATGGCGAGAAGTTTCCTGCACACCCCAGCCCTGTCCTGTGAGCGATTGCTAGCCAGTCAGATGTTGTTTAGAGAATGCCTGTCACTGCCTGGACTTCACTTAAAACAAAGACATGAAAAATATAGCCAGCCTTCTTGGGAGGCTGTCAAGAGATGCCTAGCAACTCCACCAATGTTGCTGTCAGAAAAGAATTATACATTCCAGTGCAGAGGCAACTGAGTCATCTCAGTGTTGGATGAAAGCTTTCAATGGTTACCATAGTTAACTCGGAATTGTATGAATTGAGTATCTTTGTTTCGGTTCCAGGGGTTTATATCTGACTAGTTCATCCATTGCACTAAACCATAATGTTACTTGCTACCTTTTGTTCAGGATGAGGTATATATTCAATGCTGTGGCCTGTCTGCTATTATTTCTGGCTCAGCATTAAGTAACCCCAGGCATTTGGTGGCTTATTCAAGAAACTCTGGTGAATGAATGAAATTCTGGTTATTTAATGAAATAATAGTTTGGAACGAAGTGGGGACCAATCATTCCATTAGTTATTCTTTTTTCCCCCTTTATCTGCCAGATTAGAAAAGAAGGACAGTGCTCGTGATGCCATGGAGTCTCGGAAGTCAGGAACAGCCAAACGTCTGGCTACATTAATCTCAGGCCTGGTGGAGTGCATGTGCTTTGCAGGTGTCATTTTTGGGTGGACATCGCTGGTCTTTGTCCTCAAACATTTGAAGTACTTTGAGAACTATTGTGAGTCAGCCGCCAATACAACCATCAATCAAACAACTCAAGGTATGATCTGAGAAGACCCGAGGGGGAAGGTATTTTATCCTTTGTGCATTTATGAAGGTTAAATGAGCAACTAGTTTCATACAGCCATATGGTGGGAACATGCTACTTGTAACTCTCTCCAACCAAGTTCATCACCCTGAACTAGGTCCTGTCAATTGCTTGAACCTTTAAAAAACATTCCACCAGGGCAAAAACTGAAGATAGTTATCAACCCTATGGCCCATCACAATATGTGGCCTGTGGGCTTAAAGTCTGCTTGATGCTTACTAAAGTCTTCTCCTTAAATTTAATAACAGCAGTTGGCTTAGTGGTGCCACCGTGAAAGGTAAAAGGGTTTTGAATAGGAAACCTTTCAAGTCTCCTTGCATCTCTTATTCCAGAAGAGAACTGTTGGCTATTAAAAGTACAGCGTTGATGGGTTGGGCAGGGAAACCTAGAGAACCAAAAGCCAAATGTATCAGTACGGAAGATAAGACCTAATAAACATCTGCTTGTGGTTTTATGTGGCATTAGGGATTACTCTTAAATTTTCTCACTAATTTACAGGCTGTGCAGCTCAGGATGAACAGTTCTCTCTCATCTTCACCATTGGCTCCTTCATGAATAACTTCATGACCTTCCCTACTGGCTACATCTTTGACCACTTTGGCACCACAGCAGCCCGTCTGCTTGCCATGTAAGTGCTGGAATACACAACTCACTCCCTGTCTTTTTTTTCTCAGGGATACCTGATGCCAAAGAACCAAAGTGGAATTTCGGGTACACCTTTGTCTTTCATAATTGCATTATAAGAACTTGGCAGATTCTTTGATCAGATGAGAACCTGCTGAATTCCTTCCTGTCCTGCAACACTTAATCCCCAGGACTGAAAGCTTTCCTTTTGAGAGGGAGAGCTTAGGCCAAAAAAAAAAAAAAGAAAGAGGCAACCTAAGCTCTGAGACTGTCAACAACAGTCATATGCTTGCATATGTGTGGTTCTTGAAGCAGCACCAGTTTCCTTCTCTCAATTTGCTGATTGTGATGATGATGATGATGATGATGATGATGATAATAATAATAATAGGCTTCCACCATTTTCAGGTGGGAAATGCATGGAAATTACAGGGTCAATTATACAGTACGCTTAAAAAATTTTCTTGATTCCTAAATCTAGAAAACTAGCCTTCTCTATACATGTAATATGGCCTCTTGTATTATCACCCCATGATTATGGTCTCCTCCACTATCCCATATAAAATTTTGAGAGCATTCCTTTGCTTCCAAAATATTGCCCATCAAATGTGCCTCAAAAAATCTCCAGTCTTTGCTGCCTGATTCAGCAATGAAATGGGCTGGAAAGTGTTGAATGCTGGCACATTTCCCCATGAAGAATCGGGGCCTCCTCTGCAGGGACACTTGAGCTGGATCTGTAGTTGTAGCAAATGACCTTGGGGCGTGCTGAGGTATCCATATGGATTGCACTCTTCAGTCTGTGCATGGAGGGCATCATTATTTTGGATGGCTTCTTTGCTCAAAGACCACTTTGCAAAGAGTGAAGTGGAACATTATGGAAGGAAGATCTAGTCCACTTCTTTCATATTATAATGGGAAGCCTTTGTTAATGCAAGACACATTAAAATTGCCCCACAGTCTGAAACAGTTAATCTATGCTTGCTGTATGCATGGAGCAGGCTTCAGTGATGGAAGAGATAAAGTTCCTTCCATTCAGCATATGGTAACAGAAGGGAACGATGATGATCAGAAATTCTCTGCTGTACATATATAAAAATGTGCTCTCTCTCGCTCTCTCGCTCTCTCGCTCTCTCTTCTCTCTCTCCCTCCCTTCCTCGCTTTTCCAGTCTATCAGAACTGCCAGACAGCTGAAATGATAAATGACTATTATCTCTGACAACCCAGGCGGCCTCTATAAGCCCAGAGAACTGGGTTGTTTTTTTTACATAATACTCATCTCCACATACATTCATTAATAGTTTGCCACCCTTTTTTGGGGGGGGGGAGCTGCACCCTAAGAAAGTAGAATAGGAACTGCACTATTCCTCTCCCCCTATAATGATGTGTCTAAAGCATAAGTTCTTTATTCATCATAGTCATCTACTAAATGGAATTGGATATTCAGAGATAAATGCTTCTGATTTTGTTAGTATGTTTGGCATATTTTAATTATTTCATAAAAACTTGTGTAGGAAAAAGTAACGATAGAAATGTGAAAATTCATAGGAAATAACATAATTTAGAACCATTCCTTCCACATTTGTATAGAAATTATTAATAAAAAGATTGAATGGAGAACTCAGGACTGATCCTCATGGAACTCTGAGATATCTTTGTGATGCTTATATCCTACTTCAGTCTTCAGTCCTAGCCCTTCACCTTTTTTCAGTTTCCTGTGAATCCAACTTTTGGGGAGAGAAGGCTGAACCAAAATATGAGTTGCCCTTCTGCCTTTTCTTTTGCTAGCTGTTAGTGTTGCTTTGATGTTTACTGAGCAGCTGGAATATGGACTGATTACCTTTTCCTTTTGCCGTGAATATAGTTAAAGAAATATTTTATTAAATTTAGCTTCTTTTATTAACCTTATTTTTTCTTTCTTTCATGATATCAGCTCTGCTGTTCCTGACTACCTGGTCCTCTTTCCATTTTCTATATTAATCTTTTTTATATTTAGATTTTCACTAAACTGTGTTGGGTAGCTACACTGATTTCTTCTGGTATATATCATTTCCCCCCTTCATTGCAATTATTTATTTTTAGTTATCTCTTAGGAATTCCCATTGTTCCTGAACAACTTTTAAAATAATTTATTCAAAGCAATCTTTTTGTGAAATTCAAGATAGAGGTTTGACTCAACTTAGTTAAATTTCCTTCAAAAATCAAGAATTCCAAGAGTACAAAATTTCCCCAACGCGCCTACTAATTCTACTTCTTCAGCTAATTCCTCTCTTATCTATTAGTATCGAACTAAATGGAAATTCAGTGCCACAAAAATAGGACTCTCCATTTTCTTAGCCAGTTTTAGCATGCATTAAATAAAGGCTGTCGATGGCAGGACTGACTGGGAGAGAAGGTCAGTAGCTGGGAATCTGATCCAGTTGTCTGTTAACAAAGTGTGTTGATGATCAATTAGGAGTTGTAGTGAAGAGGACCGGTTCCCTTGTGTGGTGATAAAACGAGATCTTTGAGCCGTGTTGATTTGTATCTACAAAGCGTAAGACTCTGAGAGGCTTTCAATTGTGCCAGACCTCATCTCAGCTTATGCAGCTGGAAGTCCAAGGGTTCCTGCGTGACTACAATCCAGGAAGCTGGTATTTGCTGTGGCTGCACTTTAAGTTCCTTAATTGACTGCAAGTATTAATGGAGTGGGCAAAATTATGCACCTCATGTGAATGGACTGATTAACCACATGCAAGAGGGCAATGCTGAAGAGGCTATTTCCACCCCACACGCACACACACACACACTTTCTTCCCGGCTGTAGCAAGGCACGTAGCCAATTTCCTGGAGCTGGGCAAGTCTTCTGGAAATATTCACCTGCCCATGCAAAGCATGGTGAGGAAGACTCTTTCAAGGCCCACACCATTCCAGGTGGCAGGCCTGGGTCTGCATTCCAGTGGTGGGTGAGACCTGAGCAAAACAATACAAACCCTTGCCTCACATTTAAAGTATCACTAAAAGCCTTTCAGAATAAAGATAAAAGATGCCAGTCCAGTCTTGCCAAGGGAGGGCATTTTGTTCCTATGGCTGAGAAACAAAGCAAATAAGGAAACAGTGTGAATTTTGGAGCAAAACAATTCTTTCCTGCAAAAAATAGCTATTTGCAGGCTATTTCCCCCCCCACACACAAGTAGCTCTATCAGCCAAATGTTAGCCCCTTTGATTTTAATGGGAGCATCTAATATATGCTGCAGTACATTTTCTATTGTTAAAAGTAAGTCTTCATCCTGGTTCATCCAGCCGGGAATAAATAAGCAAACATGGCGACTGCTTTGGGAAGAAGGTTACAGTTTATTGCAGAAGAAAGATGGTCCGTGCAAGAAGCAGCAGAGGAGAAGAAAAAGAGGGAGCACATGGGCAGAAGGTCTTTTTATACCCTCTAGCCCTGCTTGGAGTAGTTTCCTGTTCCTGTGGCATGAATTTTGAGGATATTTCTGAGTGTTTTTCTAGGCCTTGATATCTGTGGTTTAATCCCATTATCATATCCTGCTTCCCAGGTGATGGGGCTAATGACTCTTAAGAGCTTCTTTTGTCTTGAGATCCCTGGCTCCAAACTTCCTGATGGTTCCACATCTGCATATGTATAAGACTAGCTACTGCTTTGGGCAAGGAGATGAGGCCAGGTTTGGTTTCTGCTTTTCAAAAACTGCTTTTAAAAATCCTTTTGGTGAACAATATCTTTCTTTCTGCCTTTTTAATATTTCCTTCTCTGGGCTAACTTCCCACAATATTAAAAAAATAAGCATGGTTGAGAAGTGACTTGCTTTGACTGGCTCGCTTTTATAGAATTCTAGGCCAGGCTTCTATTAATTAACTATACAAAGGCAGTTTGAAAACACAATTAATGCTGGTCAGGAAGAAACCACCCGTGACAATGTAAAGAGTAGGTTTTACTTTTCTTTCTGGGAGCTCGTGCCAATAGCTTGAAAGAGGTACGGTAGCAGTTAGGCGGGAGCAGTTTAGTTTCGCTATGAAAGAGGCAGCCTTGGTAGCCACCCAGCATTAGCAAAGCATCTGTGAGTCAAGTCAAACTGCTTCACTGCCAGTGAATGAAAGATGCAGAATGCAGCTGGGGGCGGGAGCAGCATATGAAATGGAAAAGGTTACAGTGGCTCCTTTTATGGTGCCAAAATTAGCAAAACTCATGTTAGAGACACGAGACCAATACTTTAAAAGCGAAACCCTCCAGTATTAAACCCTCCTTTTAAAAATCCCTTTAATGACCTTAGAAACTCTCCCAAGCAGAATGGAATGGCTCCAAACACCAACTTTGGACTGGCCAGGCTGAGGAAAGTGCTCAGTCACTGGTAGGCAAAGCTCCTTGCAGGTTTCCCATGGTGTAGAATTAAAGAAAATGTTACTTCTAAACCAGCAGAGGCAAGACTGGGAGAGAGGCCTGGAGGGGTGGAGGCAGAAGGCGCTGAGTTCCATCAAATGCATGCAGCCTGAATACAACCACTTCATTACGGTAGACAGTTGGGGACGTAGGGATTGTGCTAAAAGCTTTTTGGAAAAGGAAGATGGGTGAAGACATCTGTTGGTACCCTTGATTCTATTGCTGATGTTCAAGTGGATTAAACAATCCATTTCAATCTGTAGAAAGGGAGGACAACCTTTCCTTTGGAATTACTTATGGGAGCAAAGAAGGGCCGTGGAAGAGTCAAACAAGGAGGTACATAGCAGACCCCAAAGAAGAAAGAATGAAATTCAGGGCATCTGCCTTTCACATAGGTTCGTAGGAGCCCAATGAGGTCTGTGGTCAGCAGGGTACTCCCAGGCCTAAAGCAGCCAGAAGATGTTTGTAGCCACCTTTTGTAGGTAGAAAAATGAAATCATTAGTTTAGGAGGGGACATCATACTAGAGTCCAGGGGTAGGCAACCTTGGCTCTTTTATGACTCGTGGACTTCAACTCCCAGAATTCCTGAGCCAGCATGGCTGGCTCAGGAATTCTGGGAGTTGAAGTCCACGAGTCATAAAAGAGCCAAGGTTGCCTACCCCTGGATTAGACTGTTGGAATGAGTTGGAATTAGGATGGCAAATTGTGTAGGCTTTCTGAAGAGCAAACATTGGAAATAGCTTTAGTGTGGAAAAGGTCTCAAAATGACGAGAGAAGAGAGAGGTTTCCTAATCCCAAGTTAATGCATCCGATGCTGCTAATTGCAATAATTAGGCCCATCGGATTCTATAGATCCACTGAGCCCAGCTTCCCTGGATGAATGCAGAGGTGCTTGCTTCTGTGTGCTGCTGCTTTTTCTCAGTTATATACTGAAATATAAAGTGTCTTTGACTCATTTTCATAGCGATCTGGCAAGTCATGCCTTTCATTATTATTGCCAGCCTAAAAATAGGGGCTTCAGAAAAAGGTCAGAGAGCCCAGCAAGTGTCTTTTTCAAGTTCTCAATGAGGATACTGTCTTCAGAGGCACATTTTCAAGTCCACCATTTCACTCTTTCCCCCAACGTTTGTTGGGGAAGTAGGAGAGAGAAGGGGAGGTAAAAAAACCCTCTTCACTCCCCCACCCATTACTGGATTGCTCAATTTTCCTTGAGTCTGCTCTTTGTATAAGAAATTATTGCTTTCACTCCATTGATTTGTCTAAGTCAAATCACGGACTATTGCATACTTATTGTGGTTTCAGTAAATGTTGCAAGAATAAAGGAACAATTCCCCCTCCCCCTCCCAAACCAGTTAACTTCATTGGGTAACTGCATGAAACATTTTCAGTGTGGCAACACTGTACAGTACTGAGGATATCTGAAATTAGCTAAGATGGTTATTTTTGTTTCTGCTGCAAAAATGCATTTGAGAATTGAAATTCGTCTTGGTCTTTCTTAGTGGTTAGATGTGACTCACCATTCTGAAGATGTGATATTGCTAAGTGAAAATACTATATTTCAAATATGTATTTTTCTCAAAATTTAATTAGTACTAAGTTGCACTGTAGTAGGAATGACACTAAACTGTTGACATGAATGTGAACTAGCCAGTCGAAAGGTTCTCAACCATTTTTTTTTTAAAAAAAGTTACAGGTAAAATGTATATGATTGACTGCAGGTTTTACTTTCCCCTGCAGTTTTTATATATCTAGCTAGAGCTGGGATGGCAGATTAATTATTTGGATGACAGCAGGGGTTGGTGGAGAGGATTTAACTCTTTCCTTTCCTTCAATGACCCAAGAAATTCATTACTTTGTGAAGAAATCCATCTAGTGGTAACAATAAGTAAGCTCCACTGAAAGCAAATAGCAGTTTCAGAAACAGGTTTTATTTCTTAATTAGGGGAGCAAAGGGTTAAACACTCTAGAGACTTGCTATGAATCAATCTTGGTAGCTGATACTTTTGATCTTTTATCATGTCTTCATACAAAGTGATATTTAACTTGCATGATGAAGTTTGTGTGAAAGAATTCCTGTGTGCTTCTTGTGTTGGCCGAAGATGACTCAGGAGTCATTTGTTGAGAACATGAATGCATAATGCTGCCCTTAGCCTAGCCTCTGCCCACCATAAAGACAGTCTCTGTTTGTCTTTTTTTTTTTTGCTTGGTGGAAAAAGTGATGTTTTCCAAATTCTCCAAGCACAAATACATTTCCTGGTATGTATTTCCAACACATCACCAGGACCAGATGGACTACATCCCAAGGTTCTGAAGGAACTGGCAGATGTGATCTCAGAACCACTGAACTATATTTTTCAAGGATCCTGGAGCACTGGGGAACTACCAGAGGACTGGAAAAGAGCTAATGTAGTTCCCATCTTCAAAAAAGGAAAAAAAATGGATCCAGGAAACTACAGACTTATCAGCCTGACCTCAATACCTGGGAAGATTCTGGAAAAGATAATCAAATAACGAATCAGCGAACACCTAGAGGCAAACAAAGTCATTACCAAAAGCCAACATGGTTTTGTCATAAACAGATCATGCCAGAGAAATCTTATTGCATTCTTTGACCAGGTGACAAAATTAGTGGACCAGAGGAATGCTGTGGATATAATTTACTTGGACTTCAGTAAGGCATTTGATAAAGAAGATCACAACCTACTACTTGATAAGATAGAAAAATGTGGGTTAGACAGCATCACACCAGATGGATTTGTAGCTGGCTGACCAGCCATACTCAGCATGTGGTCCTTAATGGAACTGCATCTATGTGGAGGGAAGTGTATAGTGGAGTGCCCCAGGGCTCTGTTCTGGGCCCAGTGCTCTTCAACATCTTCATCAATGATTTGGATGAGGGGATAGATGGGGAACTCATCAAATTTGCAGACGACACCAAGCTGGCAGGAATAGCCAACACTCCAGAAGATAGGCTTAAGATACAGAAAGATCTTGACAGATTTGAACATTGGGCGCTATTTAACAAAGTAAAATTCAGTGGTGAAAAAAGTAAGGTTCTACATTTAGGCAAGTAAAACCAAATGCACAGATATAGTATAGGTGGTACCTTGCTCAATAGTAGCAACTGTGAGAGGGATCTCGGAGTCCTAATGGACAATCATTTAGATATGAGCCAGCAGTGTGCTGCAGCTGCCAAAAAGCCAAACAATGCTAAGCTGCATTAACGGAGGGATAGAATCAAGATCACATGAAGTGTTAATACCACTTTACAATGCCTTGGTAAAGCCACACTTGGAATCCAGTTTTGGTCACCACGATGTAAAAAAGATGTTGAGACTCTAGAAAGAGTACAGAGAAGAGCAGCAAAGATGATTAGGGGACTGGAGGCTAAAACATATAAGGAACGGTTGCTGGAATTGGGTATGTCTAGTAGTTTAATGAAGAGAAGGACGAGGGGGGACATGATAGCAGTGTTCCAATATCTCAGGGGTTGCCACAAAGAAGAGGGAGTCAAGCTATTCTCCAAAGCACCTGAGGGCAGGACAAGAAGCAACAGATGGAAACTAACCAAAGAGAGAAGCAACCTAGAATTAAGGAGAAATTTCCTAACAGTTAGAACAATTAATCAGTGGAACAACCTGCCTCCAGAAGCGGTGAATGCTCCAGCCTGGAAGTTTTTAAGAAGAGACTGGACATTTCAGACATTTGTCTGAAATGGTATAGAATTTCCTGCCTGAGCAGGGGGTTGGATTAAATGACCTCCATATTATTATTATTATTATTATTATTATTATTATTATTATTATTATTATTATTATTGTTGTTGTTGTTGTTGTTGTTGTTGTTGTTGTTGTTGTTGTTGTTATCTATTGACTAGTGCGTGCTGTTGCAAGCCAGTCATGCTGTCTCTCCTCCAGACACTGGTACCTGCCCTTCATGGGCATCTAGTCTCGGGCTATCTGCCCGAGAAGAAATTTTCCTACATAAAACCTTGCAAGGTGCATCTTAGACTTATGTGGACTCCTTATATACCTCAAAACATTTTTGGTTTAGAACTGCCAGTTCCTACAAGGGTGAGGCCCTGGTGTATTGCTGAATATGTGAAGTTCAAGTGGTGTAAGTGGATTATACAAGAGCTATTGTCACTTTCTTGTCTCTGCCTGTCATCCTATTGTGGCATATCCCATGTAATTGCTGTAAGATAGTGTCATTTTGTGCACTTTGTGGGGTATTCATACAGTAGGCATTGCAATCACTTATGACAGGAGTCACCTTGATTGGGATATTTGGCGCCTGGTGGTGAATTTACTAAGAGTTTGACTAGTTCCCTCTTGTCCACCAATCTTTAGTCTTTTACAAGGCTGATACATCTCTGTCCAGAAAAAAAAGGCCCATCTGAGAAGCAACTGAAGTTCAATCAGGAGTTCCACTCTATATTTATCCTCCACCCCCCACCCCTTCCAATGTATAGCTGAGATGTTTTTGGACAAATGTCTACTAGTCTCAGAGAAGATTGGTAAGCTGGTTGGCTCTCCTTCCTGTTGCTTGGACTTTCAGAAGAAGAAAAGAGAACTGATTTCAGAAACACTTAACCTGACATGTTACTGGGTACAGAACATCTCCAACCAGGTGATAGGTCACTCGGGCTTTGCACTTTGCATTACCTCAAAGCCCCCATCCTAAAGTTCCACTAGCCAGATGAGACTTTGTGCACTGGATGTGCAGAGAGGCTGCTTCTGGCATATCCAGGAGCTGAGTGGAAGCATCAGAAGAGGTTCTGTTGAAACTGCCAGAGGCAGCCTGAGCAGTGAAGGAGGCAACTACTTTGCTTTGCTTTCTGAAATATAGACTGGATGTTATTTTGTGAAGAGTTTCAAATCATGCTTCATGTGAAACTTCATGATTTTGTTGTTGTTAATTGCGAAGTCGTGTCCAACCCATCGCGACCCCATGGACAACGTTCCTCCAGGTCTTCCTGTCCTCTACCATCTTCTGGAGTCCATTTAAATTCACACCTACTGCTTCAGTGACTCCATCCAGCCACCTCATTCTCTGTCGTCCCCTTCTTCTATTGCCCTCAATCTTTCCCAGCATTAGGCCCTTCTCCAGTGAGTCCTAATCATATGTACGATACATTACTAATTAGCTTAAACTAGAATTTAGCTCCAAATTGTACTTGCCTGCTCACTTCTCCCATTTCTTTTAATTTCAATCTTATGTTCTCTTCCTCGGTCAGCATAGTTTCTTTCATTCTCCCTGAGTATTTCCAATATCTTCAATCCAAAACTTCATTTTACTGATACATCTGCCTGACCAGTTGACCTTCTTCTTCTAACAATGCCCATAATTGCCACAACTACCTACCATATCTACTGACCTACCTATCTAAGTTAAGGATGGAAAGCTGGAGAAGAAAGCCACAGTATCTGGTGGAGATGAAGTGAAAATATGCTACAACTTCATATACACTCACAGCTCAGGCTCTCCTTTTGTTTTCTAGATCCTCCTACACCATTGGTACTCTCCTCATTGCATTTTCTTCAGCAGGTGAGTGCTTCTGATGAAGAGCCCACTTGAGCTCACTAAACATGTGTTGGTATCCATGCCAGTTGCCAAGAGCCCAAATTCTGATCATGTGACTGCAGAGACTGTGTGACAGGCATAAGTGCAAGAACTGGTAATAAGTCATGTTTTTCAGTTGTGTTGCAACTTTCAAAGGTTGCTAAATAAATGGTTGTAAGTCTAGGACAGGGGTGTCAAACTGCCAGCCCGCGGGCTGGATGCATCATCTGGAAGCCGCGCCCACCCCATTGCCAGCAATGGCAAAACCGGCCCGATACGTTGTGCAATGTCATGTGACATCGCGAGTTTGACACCCCTGGTCTAGGATTACCTGTAGTTACACAGTTTGGGAAACTTGGATAAATTTTACTGATTTTGTAGTTCAAATTAATACTGTCAGATACAGACAGTATCTTCAAGTTATACAGAAAAGGAAATACTGTACTGCCAGGTTTTCTTTCATATAAAGGTAACAACTGCTGTTTTTTAAAATTTTTCTTTAATGCGACTACTAAAAAACCGCAAGATCCTTGTTCTCCCTATTCTATTAATTCATCCTTAACTTAAGGCAATTTAGTGGGTCCAACTAGTGATAGTGGACCATGGAGTTAAGGGTAATACATAGAATGCCTTGGTAACTGGTTAATAATGGTTGCCGGCTCCCAGGTATGGTCAGCTGATTCCATCGCTGACTATAGGGGGCGAAACCCTGGCCCCCTCGGAGAGGGTTCGCAACTTGGGGGTCCTCCTGGACCCACGGCTGACACTGGACGACCAGTTGGCGGCTGTGGCCAGGGGGGCGTTTTACCGGGTACGCCTGGTGCACCAGTTGCGGCCTTTTCTAGACCGGGA